TATAATTTACAAACCGTTTTGAGAACCAATTAATTATGAGAACTGTGCAAAGAATTTTGATATTTCGATTTTAGCTTTTAGTTAATTACAAGTTTATTTGTCGCTATTAAAAATTATGTTTTAATAAATACTGTTAATATCTTTCAGTATTCTGTCTTAATAACCGGAAGATGTTACAACTTTAATATGCCCAATTTGAATAATAATCTTAAATTTATGGCAACCGTAGAAGTGCTATCTTCATAGTGCTATCTTCATAGAATTTGCTAGTTTGAAAATAGCTCCTTTGTTTCGGTTTTCAAATTTCAAATAATAGTAGCAGCCTCAATTACAGGCTTAAAAATATTTTGTATCCAATTGAATATGCAAATCGAACAATGAAGGTAAATCTAAATAATATAAAGTAGTAATTTTCTTTGAAAAGGAATCGATAAAGTCAGATAGTCGTAATAATTTAAATATGTTTTGTTTTAGTTTTTTTGAATCGTTATATATCTGAAACGGTGGCTTTAAAGAATAAGTATTGAAACTTTTATTATGGATAATTTTATAATATAAAATTTTTGTCCAAAGTAACATAATTCACCGTTGAAAATTAGCGAAAAATATTTTGATCTTGATCATAATTTTTTTTTTTTTCTTATTTTATTCTTCAAAATCTATATTATCGCCCTTCTCAAAGTAATACCCCTTGGCCCCATTTTACTTGTGCCAACTATTTTTCCGATCCTCGAAACAGTTGTTAAAGTCAATTTCCGGAATTACCTTCAATACGCCTAGCGATTCACATTTATTGTCTTAAATTGACTCCAAACGGTTTCCCCGGAAAAGCCGATTGAGTTTGCTAAATAGCCAAAAGTTGCACGGAGCTAAATCAAGCGAATACGGTGGTTGCGGCACTATATTGGTTGAAAATTTGGCGAAAAACTCACGCAGAATCAACCCAATATCGAGGTGTAATATTCAAAAGTTTTCGGAACACAATTCCGGCCACATTCAAATAGTATTCTTTGTTGACAATTTGGCCGGTTGAAAGGACTTCGAGTGCACCATACCTGGATAATCCAAGACAACTAACAAAATATTCTTGATTTTTTTTTAGCTGTTTTGACGTGGTTTTTTAGGCTTCGGCTCACCTTTGCCTCGATATTCGGCCGATCGATCGTCTGTTTCTGGATCGTAAGCATAGATCCGAAACTCATGGTCAGTAAAAATATATTTCGATGTTGTTTCTCGAAAATTGGGTGATTTTTGAACCGATCGTCTTTTCGCTTTTCTTAGGCCCAAATGATCTTTCAAAATGGTTTTCACTGGTCTTTCCGTTATTCCGGCGACGCCAGCAAGATCTCTGACTGTTAATCGTCGATTATCAAGCACCAATTCCTTTATTTCATTGATGTATTGATCAGCAGTTGATGTTGGTGACCGTCCTAGACATGGTCAATGCGTTCTCGAACCTTTTTAAAAAAAAATTTAGCAATCAAAAACACTTGCCCGCGGCAAAAAATTATCACCGAAGGCCTTTCCTCACCCCTTATAAACTTTCTTATATAAATGGTGTAGAAATGCTCTGAAAATATAGTATATCAAAATAACCACATAAATAGGCGCAACTTTCTAAATGTCAACTAAACAAATAACGCAGTATGTGTTAAACAGACAACTAATACAATGACACACTCACTAAATTACGAAATCAAAGTTAATAAAATGCTAATAAATTGATAAATGAAGCAATAATCCATTTTAGTATTGAGAAATGCTTCTCTTTATTTTCATTGTTGTATTTTCACCGAATTCCCGATCACACAGCATTGACTCAATGATTGACGAACGGGTGAGTGGCGCGTTTTATACTACGCTTATATGTTACCACACAGATAAACAGTTATAAAAACGAAAGGGCGTGTATATATTATTAATTTAAGTGGTTTATAAAATTATGTAAGTTTTCTTCTTCACTTCTGCTGTTTTATCTTATTAATACTAGTTATAAAACAGCTGCCGAAGAGCGGCCAATGTTGGCCAAACCGCACGACCTTGATTAGCCGCGCTGCAGCGTGGAGGCGCCTCTGCTTAATTACGTTGTTGTGCCTTTTGTGTGGCGTTTTCTTTGTGCATATTAATCAAGGTACAACATTTGCTGTCCAATGGGATGAGCAGCATGAATGAATCGCCAGTCTCCAGTCTTTTGTGTCTGCGCTTACGCTTGCGAATTGTGGTCATAGTGTCAATGTTAATCAGCAATTTATGCAAATGAGTGTAAACTTTAATTATATTTTAGTGAAGGAAGATGAATAGGAACAGCAAACTGCTTGTGGTTTACACATTTTGTGCATTCTTTGAGTAAATTGAGTTGAAACAATGTTTTGGGTACACATTTTTATGTGAGAGGTGTGACAAACATTGTGTACTGCTAATTGGTTGCATATTTGCACTTTTGCATGTTATACCCCACACATTTCATTTTACTTTTTTTTAGTTGAAGATCACTTATTTTATATGAAAGACATAATTTTCATTTTAAGAGCGAAGTTTTATTAATTTCAATTTTTAAAAAGTTGACATAAAATAATGACAAATTAAAAATTTTTTTTTTTCATTAAATTAATTTATTTATAAAAGTAAAAATATTCCATCATGGATTAAAGTACTGACTTGATTTCACAAAAATTTGGAAAGCGCAAATTTAAAAATAGTGGGTGTTTGTTCCAAACGAAGCTCCTTGCGTTGCCAACAAAAATTTCTTTTAGTAAGTTCTTTTAGTAGTTTAGTCTTTCTATCATCTAATGTCTAATGTTTTTTTTAATTAATACAATGATAGCTTCAGGAATTTTTTTCCAGTTTTTCGGGATCCCTTCATCGTGTTTTGAAAAGCTTAAAAACATGAAAATTGTGTAAATTTCATTGAGATCTAGCGAGCGGTTTGTGAGCTTTCCTGGTCACCAGTTCGCAACGCACCGTTTTGAGAAAATCGCATTTGAAGTTTTACGAGAACGTTCCAGAGCGTCCAAGCACACTTTGCTAATTATCGAATAATTCGAATTAAAAATTCCAGATAATATTCTGAGACAAAAATATGACTTTTGGTTTGAATTTTACTACCTTTACCCTTTAATGAAACACTTTGATTGGTTTTGACCAATTCGTCACTACTTTTAACTACTCTTGCTTATCTACCCGTTTTCATATATAACTGTTTTTAGTAGTTGGCAACTCTGCCTATAGATTATTTAATCTATTGAAATTATATGTACAGTTATTTATAAGATTTTTCAAATCCACCTCACCTTTAGTTGGGTTCCCGGCCACAGCAACATTTTCGCTAACGAAAAAGCAGACAAGTTGGCCAAGCAAAGGAACCTCTTTATGTGAATCCGAAGCGGAGTAATACTACGTCCGCTGGGAACGATCAAAGGAGAGCTTTATACTTACTTTATACAAGGAATCCGGTGTAGCTACTATAAAGTGACACGGGATATTTGGAAATGGCGCACTAAAAAGGGAAGAGCGTAAAGAAAAAGTTTTCACTTTCTCTGTGAATGCATAGATGTAGCAAAAACCAGACACATAATACTTGAAATATATCAGGCATCAAGCCTTAAATCAATAGTCACTTCATAAATATTCCAATTTTGTTTACTTCTTGAACAGCTCCAGAACGTCATTAAAATGTGATTCACGGTTCTTTTGGAAACATCTGTAGCATCTATAAAAGTTTATGACTTACAGTAGACACGTCATATACAAAAAAAAAAAACACAAAATTGAATTCAATATTTTTGACCAATATTTTCAGTCAGTTGCTACAAATGTGACACCAAACTACTACTCAACCCTTCTCTCAACCAAATACTATAAAAATTGGAAAGTACTGAAGCTATAATACCCCTCACAAATACATAATATTCGTTACAACAACTAAATTTTGAAGTTTGTATGGCAACTATAAGCTACAGCAACTCGAACTCAACAATTACTTTAAAGATTTTACCATTTCTTGAGCAGTAACCCATGCCAAATTTGTTGAAGACATCTCGTCAAATGAAAGCGCTTTCGATACAATTCGTTAATTCCGCGCATTCAGCCCCAGTTCACTTTTGTGTTTTAGTAGTCAAATTAGAAATTTTCAATCAAACTCATTCCATTGCCCTAGAGGGTCGGCGACACGAGACTCACTCAGGCAATACTCCAGTTAAATACTTGTATACACTAAGTCATTTATTTAGCTACAAAAATGCGAGTTGCACGCACAATAGTGAGCGCTTGAGCGTTGTCACTCTTATGAAACATTTATTTCGCCAATTGCATTCCTCCTAAAAGGCACGGACGCTGACGATGCAACTGTCGCATAAGCGATTGTGTTGCGTTAGATACGTAATCGTGCACATGGAGGTACATGCACATCGGCACACACATACTAGCTTCATGACAATAATAATAATAAAGTTGCTTTGCCCCAGTTTCGGCTGCAATTTGTGAGTGCCTGCCTGTTAGTAATCACCCTGTATAAATTAAACAGTGGTTTTTAGGAAGCATCTCTTTTATCCAAAATATGCTATGTTACGATATACATATGTAGCTACTGTTGTAGCGGTATAAAATACCGGAATATGCTATTTGTTCTCTTAGCAACAATTATTATAAAAAAAATTTGAGTTTGAAATTAATCGGTTTTTATTTTTGAATCCACTAAATATCTTACAATAATCATGACCAAAAGAGTGCCATAAAATACTGCTATCATATAAAGCGATTGTTTTAAAATAGACGTTCCTTTTTTTGCTTTGAAAATTCTTAATTTCTGTCAAGCTACAATTTCTCTTTTTGTTTCTTTTATCTATTTCGTTTTTTATTTGGTATTCAGTACTGATAATTGATAATAGTTTTCGCCAGGTATTCCGAACTAAAGTAAAAATTTTGAATTGAAATTGAAATTAAAACTTTTAATTTCTAAAAAGAAAAAATATTTATTTATTCTTCATTTTATTTTTTTTCAGCTTCCTCGAGGAGCGGTTTGGCAAACCCTCTTCCTACTATGTGCAGTGCTCTTTATAAATGGTAAGTAAAATATTTATTTCTAAATTCGCTTTTACAAAAACATACATCCTTATGTCCACTTTTTATGCTAATTCCAATATTATTATGGATTAGTTGAATTCAATATCAATATTTTCAATATGAAATCAAAGAAGTTAAATATAATTGTAACATTAGTTCCCAATACTAACTTCTTTCTCACCCACAATTTATTTTTTACTATTCTATTATACGAAAATATTTGGTATTCTCTCGAACATCGGCTTGCAATTACAATTTACACAGAAATTTGTTTGTTATTAAAAAAGAATCTCAAATCTTGCAATGAAACCAACATTTCCGAATATATTTGTTTGTTTGTAGCAAACAATTTTTCTAACCTATTAAACTCCTCAGTAACTTATTCTAAAACCGATGACTATTAATTCTATAGGTTTCGATTTCTGTTCCCGTTAACAAAATAAATGTTTTTTTGAAGTGACGGTGCAGCTTCATTTTTCTTCAGCTGCTTTATTGGCGTGGACAGCGCTTACGCGGTTATAGCCAATATTCCAATTGTAGCCATGTCCTTCTCCACCAGGTCTTTCCAACGAAGTGGAGGTCTTCCTATTCGTCTGTTTCTCCCGGCGGGAACTGTGTCGAATACTCTCAGGGCTGGAGTATTTTCCCCCATTCTAGCTGCTGTGTCTTAATTCGTTGAACTATATCAATGTCGTCGCATATCTCCTACAGCTCAGCATTCCATCGACTGCGGTTTACGCCATTGCCAATGCGCAAAGGACTACCGCCCCTGCTGGTTCTACACCTACAATAAACACCACCTATATGCCATTCCCTCACTCCCACCATTACTCACGGACATACACGGCAAACCGGCATCTCATGAACAGCAATCGCGTATCGATAGCAGAGATAGTACCCTGGAATGTAAGGGTATATCTAGTCGGTCAGGCGATGTCGAGCCCGAAATATTTAATATTATTATAGATATATATATATCTTCACAATGAATGACGAAGCTTTCACCAGAATTATGGGTACCTGTAATAGCCCCCCGATATTAACATTCCTAGCGCGGGTCTGATAATGACACAAGGTGATCGCAGCAGCTGCCGCTCGCTTCATCCCGGCTGGAAGAATTTCGGAACTTCGCCCTAATTTCCCAGCTGAAGCAGCTGTTTTAGCTAACGAGCGCGACACCTGACGCCATGCCGATTCCGGTATTCCCGAATAAGGGATCTCAATTTGAAGACACAGCGATTGGTTAATCAACACAAGCGTACAAAATGGATAGAGCACTTGAAGTGCTGCATTCTCTCTACCGGTGTGAGTAAGCTTTGGTCTACTGTCAGGCCTTTGTCTAATCCGAAGAGAAATGATGACCCATTCGACGGGATAAGCTCCCTCACCAAGGTTCTCAACATTTTGCTGACAACTCTTCAAATACCCGATGTGTGGAAAGTCGGAAGCGTGGTCCCACTACTGAAACCTGGGAAACCCGCCAACAAAGGGGAGTCCTATCGCCCGATAACTCTCCTCTCCCTGGTAATGAAGACACTTGAAGCCTTGCTATTCGAAACTTCACTCACCACATGAGTCTAGCAAACCCCCAGAAGGGATTCCGGAAAATACACAGAACCACCACAGCACTTAGCCCTGATAGTTTGTGGCCTTAAACAGAAACCAACTTGCCATCAGAGTTCTATACTACAGATAAAATACCCTTCATTATATATATAGATAATCATTTCTCCTCTGTTGTGAACTAATAACCTAAAGTATTTTTGCTAATAACAGAAAGCAGGAATTTTACATTTATTCCTAAAAATAGTTTAAATCTAACCACAAAACCAAAGATGTACACAAATTAACTTACTGAAAAATTAGGGAATAATTCGAATAATCTTAATTTTATTCTATATTTTCAGAAGTCCGTTCGGAAGGCAGAGTCGTCTGCTACTACACCAATTGGAGTGTCTACAGACCAGGTACAGCGAAATTCAATCCACAGAACATCAATCCATATTTGTGTACACATTTGGTGTACGCTTTTGGCGGATTCACAAAAGACAATCAGATGAAACCCTTCGATAAATACCAGGATGTAGAACAAGGTGTGTAAAAAGTTCTTGAAACTAACTAATTATGGGTTACGTATGGAAAAAATGGTAGTATTTCCTTTTCACTTAATTTTTTTCTAGCGTACATTCTTTCAGTTTTAACCTCCCTAGTATGTCTAGAACTCTACATTACATATTGTAATACAAATTTACATTTCTCTTGACTCTTTCCTAATGAAATAACATGGTAAACTCAATTAACACTCCCCTTTTTGCTATATTTTCATGTCTCTGCGGCCTGTCATCATTCACCCACCAATTCGCATCGTTCGCCCCTTCACTGCTCAGGCGGCTATGCCAAATTCACGGGCTTGAAAACGTACAACAAGCAATTGAAGACCATGATTGCCATTGGTGGCTGGAATGAGGCCTCATCACGTTTCTCGCCGCTTATGGCCAACCCGGAGCGACGACAGCAATTCATTAAAAATATTTTGAAATTTCTACGTCAAAATCATTTTGATGGCATCGATTTGGATTGGGAGTATCCGGCACAGCGTGAGGGCGGCAAGCCGCGTGACCGCGACAATTATGCGCAGTTTGTGCAAGAGTTGCGCGCCGAATTTGAACGTGAGTCACAGAAGACCGGACGTCCACGTCTGCTGCTGACAATGGCCGTACCAGCAGGCATTGAGAACATCGAGAAGGGTTACGATATACCCAAACTGAACAAGTACCTTGACTGGTTCAATGTGCTCTCGTATGATTTCCATTCATCGCACGAACCTTCGGCTAATCACCACGCTCCATTGTACTCGCTGGAGGAAGAGTCCGAGTACAATTATGATGCAGAATTGAATATTGTAAGCATATTGAAGTTGTTGGCAGTCGAAGTAATTGAAATTTTGATTGAAATAATTTACATTTCTTTCTGCTTTTCTGGTTTGCTCCTGCTATTAGGATTACTCCATCAAATATTATTTGAAAGCTGGCGCTGACCGCGACAAGCTGGTGCTGGGCATACCTACATACGGACGTTCGTATACACTGATTAATGAGGAGAGCACGGAAATTGGTGCACCGTCAGAGGGACCGGGTGAACAGGGCGATGCTACACGTGAAAAGGGCTATTTGGCCTACTATGAGGTGAGTGAATTGTAGTAAATTACAGTAAAAAAATAAGTAAGCAAATAAATGCTTCAAAATGAAAGAAACTTGTAACTGGAAACTAATTAACTAAATTACCTATTTTTAACATTACAGATATGCCAAAATCTGAAAGAGGACGCTGAGTGGACCGTCGTACAGCCAAATCCCAATGCGATGGGACCATATGCATATAGACGTAATCAATGGGTTGGTTATGATGATGAAGCCATTGTACGTAAGAAAGCCCAATATGTGGTCGAAAATGGCTTAGGTGGTATTATGTTTTGGGCCATCGATAACGATGACTTCCGCGGAACTTGCAATGGAAAACCATATCCACTAATTGAAGCAGCCAAGGATGCTATGCTCGAGGGCTTAGGGTATGATTTTGCAAATTTTAAAAGTGTCCTTTTATTTTGAAACCAATTATAATTACAACCATTCAGGCTTGGCATCAACGAAGTCGCTAAGCCGAATTCACCCAAGAAACCTTCACGTTCACGTAGTCGTGAGAATTCGTCATCAAAATTAAATCGCATTGGTGGCAGCAGCGAGGGTAAGGGTTCAGGGAGTCGTTCGACTTTGAGTAGTGGACGACGGCGTATACAATCCAGCACCACAACAACAACGCAAGCACCCGAGACCACGATAAGACTGACTAATCCAGAAGGCTCTTCATTGTATATAGGCGGTCGCGTCACTACACCAGCACCACCCACCACGCCTGACCCAGGAACTGGTGAGTACCCACCGAAACCCTGCTCAGAAAATATATTTTTAAAAATGTCTCATTCCACCTTCGTAGACTTCAAATGCGAAGAGGAAGGATTCTTTCAACATCCACGTGACTGTAAGAAATATTATTGGTGCTTGGATAGCGGTCCGTCTGGTTTGGGCATTGTGGGCCATCAGTTCACTTGTCCATCGGGACTGTATTTCAACCCGGCCGCTGACTCGTGCGATTTTGCGCGCAACGTGCCCTGCAAAACGAAGAAGTAAGTATTCATGTTTTCAATATTTTATATAAACTAATATAATTTGCCATCTTTAGAGTCACAACTGCTGCACCTGTAACTAGCACCACGACAACAACTACTACACCACGACCTACAGCTTCCCTCAATCGTATATCAGCCGCTACTTCACGCACATCTTTCTTTAGGACCACCACTACAACTACATCAGCTCCAGAGGAATATGAAGAAGAAGATGAGGAGGAGGTGGAGGATGCACCAGCACATACTAAAGATAGAGATGCCGAAGAAGATCCACAGGTTATAAAAGAGCTCATTGAGCTCATACGCAAAGTGGGTGGTCTTGAGCAGTTAGAAAAGCACTTGCAACACAAAGATGATGGCTCAATATCGATTAAAGGCAGCTCCAGTGAATCAGGTGTGGCTACTACCCCCACGCCGATTAGTAAAAATCTTTACGACAAAGTGCTTAGCAAACCTAACACCTTCAACTCGTTCCGCAATCGCTTTACCTCATCATCACTGTTTAGAAAATCTGGCCAAACAAAGACAGAAGAATCGACGAGTACTAAATTAGAAAGCGAGGAATCACAGTCTAGTGAAGGTGCCAGCAGCAGCGGCTACTCCAAATACTCATCCGTCGTGCGCGGTAATAGCAGGCAGGGTCCGCAAAATGAGGGACTTGATAAGTTGTCTGAGTTCGATGGTTTCTTGAAAGAAAAGAAACAATATGTGACAATAAACAGACATAGAGATGCATTTAGAGGACAAGATGATGAAGATGAAGTGGAGGAAAAGCAAACTGCTGAAGAATTAAATGAGAATACTGAAGAAGAGGAGTTGAGTAGTAGAAGCAAAACCACAAAGCGGCCAACCAACACAGTTACACCCTCGTACGCAAGCATAAAACGCACCAGACCAACAACACTTCGTACCGAATCCGATGAGGAAGCTGAGGGAAGTGACGAAGAGGTGAAAACTGTAAAGGAGAGTGAAGAAAAGCGCACCTACACCTCACTAAATCGGAACCGAGGACGGTTTACCACCACTGAAAGCAGCCAGCCAGCAGAGGAAATTGTAACTAATTCAAATAGGTAAAGAATTTTCGAACATGACCAAAAAGTGTTTCGTGTAAACGAATGAATGATTGGGTTTATTTCTTTCGAAGATATAATAACGGTTAAGAAGACTGAAAATTATATATATACTAATTTTCTACAAATCTACATTATGCAGGGTCTTGCTGAAGCCTGCAGACTCTTTTTCCGAAGTACAATGAAATTTTAAAAGGTTAGATAGGGTAAAGAGATGATCTTGATCTAACAATATTTCATCGTGGAGCCATTCAGAGTCTAGAAATATTTTTAATTAAATTATATACTCTTGTTCTTTATAACTCTGGTAATCACGGCGATTATTATTTTTTCAACTGTCTTAGAGGGCAGTGTTTAATTAACGGCTTTTATGAGTTGTTGGTTTAAGTAGCGACAGATATATAGAAAACAGTTTTATATCAAAATAGGCGGCCATTGATATCAAGCATTCATATCCACATAAAAAAAATCACCAACACATTTTTCCGAGCCGATTTTAATCGACTTAAAAACCACTGGAATTGGGAAGAGAGATAGTTCACATATCTACCCAATATGAAATAATTTTTTTATGTGTTCATCAGAGCTGAGTTTCTGCTATCGCCGAGTAGCTACACATACTTATTATACCGTTTTATAATGTATAGAAATTTTAAAACTCTTACCACTTGCAGGTATAAATATCTGGAGCGTACGCGACCCACAAACAGGCTTCAGACATCGGCCAGCAGTCAAGATGACGACGAGGAGGATCAAGAGGATGAACAAAATGTAACGGTACAATTAAATGGGGCTGCAATAGATTCCACACAAAAATCAACACAAACCACAACACGCATCTATGCGAATATAGGTCGTCGTACCACAACAACAACAGAGACTCCTATCACCACCCAAGAAACACCAACCAGATACAATTTATTAGAAAACACTTTCAGCAACAACGAAACACCTGAACCAATTTTACCAACTACTACTACCACTGTCACAACAGCAAATGACTCACCCGCCCTATCCATAACCATTAAAAATACTAATCCCCAATTCATACCCATTACCACGAAGCAAACCATTACCACCACATCCCAACCCATTATTTCCACAACAAATGCCGCCGCTACTACAACAACATCAAATGATATCGAACTAACCGATACCAAATCCACCATTACCACACTCCCACCAAACCTTGAGTCTGACTCAAAGGATACCTTAGACCTTTCGCTAGATGTAAACTCCCTTATTGAAAAAACTGCCTTAAGTCCCAACGAAAGTCCGAAGGATATAGAGTTCGCTGAGACTACAACGTCAAGAACAACGAAAGCTACAACAACGACCGAAACACTGACAAGCACCGCTACTACAGCCACCTCAACTGACACTGACCAAACCCCCAACGGCGATGAGGTAACGAATTTAAGTAATAATCGCACAAAGACACAATATAAATTCATAACAAGAACACGAAATGTTACAAAATCAACAACAGCAACAAACACTGACATAGACACTGAAAATGAAAGCGAAAGCGAAAACAACAAAATTTTCAAAGAAACAAAAAAAACTAGTCTAAAAACGGGTAGTAGTAGTAGTGCCGATGATAAGCTAAGTAGTAATATTAGAGGTAATACCTTTAAATACTCTGGTGGTAGAAGACAACAACAAACGAACGAGTTACTAACTCGTAAAAATCAAATACAAAATCAACAGCTAGATTCCTCAACGGATTCCACAAACAGCATAACAACCACCGAATCAACACCCACTAACGAATTCCTGGGAACCATATCTAGCCCTAGACCTTTCGGTTATCCCAGGCGTCGTACGCGCCCGAATAATACCAACCCAACCAGCAATGCTGATATACAAACTACTACTACCGAGAGTTCAGAAGATGAACAAAGCATAGTTAAGACGAGGTTAACGGCGACCAGTGCCTCCAAAAATAAGGTGAGTTCCAATTCAGATGTGTTGCAAGTACAAAACGGATTGGAAACAAACGATGATGAGGGCAGCACTACGCGCACTCTTACACAAACGAAATTGCACACACATACACATGTAGTAGATGTAATTGACGGTGTTAGTGGTATACATACAAATAATAGTCTAAGGCATGTTGTAGATAGAAACCATAGCTTAAGTATAAACGATACACTTTCAGCACAAGAAAAGAGTGACAGTCGAGCGAATAACGTGTCCGCTGAGACGCTACAGAGCGTACTCGAAAGCAAAAGCGAACAATTAGCTAATACAGTGTTAGAAAACAAAAGTAGGGTTAGTGTAACGCAGCTGAACGCTTTGACGACAAATACCAAAGACGAGACGCTGAAGGCAAGTAAGTATCGCGGCAAAAGTTTGACAACCGAGTCCGAGGCAACCTCGGCTCAAAATGGTGTTTCTGCAAGAACAGCTGACTCTACAAATTTCCGCAGTCGTGGCTTGAAGATGGTAAGCGAAGAGAAAGAGGACCTAAAAAGCATCGACACAGGCAAAGAATCGGTTAGAACCGCCGAAAACGAAACAAATCACACAACTTCGACATACACAACAGTCACTGGAAATAACGGTGAAGAAAACACAGCTTCGACTGTGACCATGCAAGCCAACGAAACCACCATTACCGACGAGGGTAACGGCATGGTAAAAATTCAAACAGTCTATACGACAATCACAAACTCGGACGAAGCTGATACGAAACATCAGAAAATAAGCGCTGATCAACAGTCAACGCTAAATAGTAATGAAAATGGTGTGAACAACAACAAAGCAGACAAGACCTACGCCACTATCAACAGAGGGCACACGCAAACGCATGAGTCGAAGCTAGATGAAAGTCACACTGCAACTAACGAGGATTTGGGTACTAAAAATACCACCACTTTCGAAACTTTGGACGATGGCAGCGTCGTGCGTACAACAGTCTATACCACGAGAACGAAAGATAGCAGCGGTAAAATCATTACCACCACAGTTGAAGAGACCATTACCACGCGCACGAAAATCGAAAACTACGTGCCGAGTAGCGATGGAGAGAACAGTGATCGCAAATATCAAACCATAACGCGTCGCACAGATCACACGCATGATCCCACCACCGAGACAATACATTACAACACCATTGTGCGCGGTAGTGATGGCGTAAAGCTAAATGAGGACCAAACTTCGTCTTTCTACAGAAATCTCGAAGAAGTTGCCAAGCAAGCGGAACAGAGTCGCAGTCGCATATACCAGGGTATATCACGTGGTGGAAAAATTGCACAAACGACGATCGAAAACGAGGCAACCAGTGGAGTGGTACAAAGCGAAGACAGCAGGTCGGTCGAAAAAAGCGAAGCACACACGATTGAACGAGGCGCAAGTAAGTATCATACAATAAATCGTGGGCATACGGAAAGTGGATTTGACGCAAGTACCGTCACGTCGAATCAGCGAGAAAACAGTCGTTTCACGGAGAAAACAAGCAAGAATGCAAATGGTGGTTACATTAGCACAAATCTTTCAAAAGAAAAGTTATCAGGATTGCATATAACTGAAGACAAAATTGAAAGCTCAACTTCAACTAAAAATAGCAGTGAGAAGAGTTCGAAGTCCTCTGGCGCTTCCGTTGATGGTTCATTGGAAGTAGAAAATACAGCCGCCCAGATCACTGATGAGGAAAATCGCGTAACTACGCCGCGTTTGGCAGAAACCACCACCGAAAGTTACTCCACAACAACTGTTGATGTTAGCACTTCGCTCCCGGAAATAGATGACACTACTATTATAACCGCGACAGAAATTAACATACCTACTAGTTTTAAAGTACGCACGTCATCCCAGATTGCAGAGAAGAACTCTACTCTATATATATCCAAAGTACGTAGCAGACCAACAACAACTGAAATACCAGTAACTACAGTAATTCCTGAAATTAAAGAGACTTCTAACTCAAGTTCCTCACTCGCTGAGCTTGCAACTCATAAAGAAACGTTCACACATCACAGAGGCCTAATCTCATATTCCGCTGTAAACTCCGAAGATGTGTCTAACGAAACCGCAAGAAAAACTAAGGTTCGACCTACCATAACCAAAACTTATGCTGATACTGATTCAACTGTTGAAAAGAACAACACCATACGTCACAGAGTTGGAACTTCGGAAAATACAGAGATAAACTCCACTGAAGTAAGACACATAGCTCGTAGCAGACCAGGAACAACACATGTCCCACAAACTACTAAGCAATCGGAAATTGAAGAAGCTACAGTACCAAAAACTGAAACAAGTCGCAAATTCCGTGGTAGGCCAACTACAACCGCAGTTCCAAAAACTACTACCCACTCAGAAATTGAGGAAACAACAGTTACATCAACTGAAACCAATCGAAAATATCGTAATAGACCAACTACAACCGCAGTTCCAGAGACTACCACCCAACCAGACATTGAGGAAACAACAGCTACATCAACCGAAACCAATCA